GGGAGGAGGAGGGAGCAAGATGGGCGGGGTAGGGGAGAGGCTCAGGCCAATGAAGGAGAGGGAACTGGGCAAAGAAGGGAAATGAGGAACTGGAAGGAGGAAGAGAAGAGACAGGAAGCTCCTCCCCAAAAGGTGGATGCAGCTGGAAGGGTGGGCAAACAGCCAAGTGGGGTCGGGTGCTGTGGGCTGTTCGGGACCCTCCCCTCTCCTCTGCACTCGGGGTCTTGGGCCGGAGCACTCACCCGCCCCGGGACACCACCAGCTTCACTTTCACCTTGTAGGAAACAATGATCCCCAGGATCTCACGGTTGGCTCCTTCCCTCAGCCTGCAAACGACAGGGGATTGCTAGGTGGGCGAGACCCAGCAGGGTGTGGGGTGCACAGAGCGGGCCGCGGCCATCCAGTCCTCTCCTGGTCACTCAGCCATGATGTCCAGCAGAGCACAGTGTGTGCCCCATGCCCTCAGGAAGCAGGAACAAACAGCTCTGGCCATGAGACTCCCTGGCTGCGTGGCCCTGCGAGCCCTTCTCCCTGCCCAGGCCAGTGGCTCTTCCTCCCTCAGTCAGAGGCCGCTTCTCTTGTCCACGGTTTGGTGCTCAGCAATCCATGGGCAGAAAGGGCCAGACTGGGAGTTCAGAGAGGGTGAGGGCAGCTGGGGAAGTGTGAGTGTGGTCAGGGAAGGACCTCTGGGAAACAGGGCCTCAACCAGGTCTTGAGGGCAGGTAGGGTTGCAGTCAGGGTGGAGTTAAGGGCAAAAACCTGCAGGCGAGTGGGAGCCTGGGCAGGGGCTGGTGAAGACAGTCGGGTCCTTGGTGGGAGTGCTGGGCAGGGTTGGAGGCCAACCAGAGCCTCACGGAAGGGCCACACTCAGCAAGGAGGGCAGGACAGGGCCCCCACACCCTCAGGCCTCTGCGACAGCAAGGTGGCCTAGAGGGTCAGTGGTGACCATGAGGCAGGAGTGACCAGATGCCCTAGGATCCCTGACATGGAAGGGTACCCATGTCAGATCTAGTCAGCTTACCTCCCTAGCCTCCCCAGACCCCCAAGTTCCTTCTGCTCATCCTCTCCTGCTAGGACCCTTCCAGGAGCCACTCCCTTCCTTGCTCTGCCTCAGGGACACACCCCCATCTGACTGAAGATACTACGCCAGGAGCTGCTGCCTCTTGCAGGAAACCCTCCCAGGTTGCCCTCTTCCTGGCAAGCCAGTAGAATCCAGCACTGCCTAAGTGAGCTGGGCTAGTGGTCCATCTAGTTATTTCAGTCACTCCTGGGTGGGGGTGGGGTTAGGGAATCAGCCTCCCTGACAAGTCAAGCTCCAAAGGAGGGGCTCTGGACAAGCCTGAGGGAGAGGGTAGCCTGAGCCCTGTCCCTGGACTGCGGGACCAAAAGAGGGTGTGAATCCACTGGGGATGGTGGGCACCAGGAGCCTGGGACTGGGAGGGGCGTCCTCACAGGGTGCTGGAGGCCAGGTTTGTGTCTTCATGCTTAAGTTTCCCATCCAGGGCAAGGCCCCGCTTCTCTCGGTTGTTGGCCAAGAAGGGGGTCAGCGTGTAGACCTTGCAGAATGTTGAGCTGGGTGCCACCGTGTCACTGGGAAGAAGGGAGGTGGGTGTGGAGATGGCCCTTTCCAGAGCCAGCCCCAGCCCAGCAGGACATCTAGCCTAGCCCTACCCCAAGCCTCCCTCTCCAAACCTCCATCTTCCAACCACAGGACCCACCTGGGCCAGCCCAGCTCAGCAACCCGGGAAGAAAGACCACTGCCACCAAAAGAGGCCCATCTACAGGACCCAGGGCATCTCTTTTCCCCACCTGTTCCCACACGTCCAAGGCCAGGCTTGGCTCACTTACTCAGCCTCTTCCATGGCCACGGGGCACTTGTACTGAGCTGTGTTGAAAAGGCAGATGTCCGCATACTGGCGCACTAGGGAGGGAGAGGGAACCGAGGTCATGTGAGGCTGGGAGGCCTTTCCCATGGAGTGCCCCGGGTTTCCTCAGGTTGGGGACGTCCAGCTCCAGGCAACAGCCAGGGGCCACTCCCATTCTCCACCCAAAATGTAGCCCCAAAACACCCATTCACTTTCACAAGTCTTCCTTTCTAGAACAGCTTTGCCCAGAACCCAGGAAAACGAGCAGAAGAGATGCCTTAAACAGTAGACTTATCACCAGGCCAGTGCGCAGCTTGTTACCAGCCTCAAGAGGCTTATACCCTTGGCTCAGAGCAGGCCCCAGGCTTCAGGAGTTATTTGCGAGGGAAGACCCTTCACTGTCCCTCCCCTTGGGAGGATTGCCCCCTCGCTCCCCCAAGCCCATCTCTCCCTGGAGTACCTGAGATCTTGATCTTCTTCACCGTCTTGTTGGTGTTATTGGTGACATGGACATTGACGTTGATGGGTTCTCCGTGGTAATAGATCTGGGAGGCATAAGGGGGGGGGTTGGCTGGGAAGATGTCAAAGTTCTAGAGAGAGGGAGGGAGAAAAGTCCCCACACCAATCTCCTGGGCTTCCCCAAGCCTCAGATGTTGCCATTCTCCCCAAGCTCATCACTTCCCGCTGATGCTGACATGGCACTAAAGCCACCAAGCACATTCGCCTTCAGTTCCCTTGTGAGACCCTTGAAAGATAAGTGAAGAAAAGGAGACATCCCTGGGCTCCAGTCCTGGCTTGGCCACCAGAAATAATGACAACAATAATAACAGCAATAGCAATGGGGATGGTGGCGGCAAGTTATCCAAGCCTCAGTTTCTCCCTCTATGCAGTGAATGGGGCTGGGTAGGTGATGTCCCAAGTCCCTGCTGGCTCAAAACCCTGTCCACAGGGGGGTCTGGAAGAAGTAGGGGAAAGGTGAGGGAGGGCCGACCAGCTCACTGAGGGAGCAAGCCCTGAATCCTCACCAAAGAGCCTCAACTTCCCCCAAAAGGGAGAGGGTGCCCACGCCTCAATGGGGACAGCCTGAGCTCACAACAGTGTCCATCGGCTAGGTTTGATTCAAAGCTTGAAGGGGTGTCCCTTCCACAGGGTTTGTGGCCATATAGCTCAGAGTTATGGCAGGGAGTGCACGGGCCCCTCTGTCCCCCTGCCAAGCCGACTGGTCTTTCCCAACTTGGCCTGAGGAAGGCAGATGGTGGAGATATGGGGGGATGGGGGGAGGTGGCCAGGACCCTCTGGGAGGGCAAGCGGCTCTCTTCTGCAGCCAATCACCACTTGGGCTCACGCCACACCTTCAGGTCCCAACTTGGTTTCTCCAAGTCCCCCAAGGGACAGCTCAGATTCCCTGAGCCCTGTGGTCCTTGGGCTGGGGCTAGAAGCTCCTACCTGGAAGTCTCTGGGGGCCAGGAGAGAACAGGGGTCTGAGGCCCAGGCCCTGGCAGAGCGGGCCCCACCCCTTGCCCAGCCCGAGCCGCCTACCTCTTTATCCAGGGAGGCCTCTAGATGCAAAGGCTTGTCTGACATGAGGAACTGCCGGGTGGTCTCGGCTGTGGGCTGAGGACCAGGCCTCTCTGGGGCATACTGAACCTTCCGGATGACCAGACGCACGGAATTCCTAATAAAGGCAGGCAGAGTGAAACATGACCAGAGTCACCTGTCTTCATCTCTTTTCCTTACAATCCCCACATAACTCTCTTGCTCAAGAGACTGCCACAGCTCCCCATTGCCTTAGAGTCCAGTCAAACGGCAGAGGTTGGCATAGGGGCCTTGCTACCGTCTGATCTCACTCTATCCTCCCCATTCTGTCCCAGAACCACCCCATGGCAGCACTTTATTTGGATCTATGTCTTGATGCCCAACAGAATGACAAAAATGGGACATATTTTCACTTCCTGACCCTCTGTGTCACTGAACAGTGTAAATACTTTAAGGACAGAAAATTTAGCCAGGCTCAGTGGCTCAGCCTGTAATCCTGCGCCTTGGGAGGCTGAGGTGA